CCAGCACTTTGGAAGACTGATGTGGAAAGATCACTTGAGGCCAGGAGTTCAAGACCAGTCTGGGCAACATAGTGAGATCCCTTCTCTATAAAAAATTTTTTAAAATTAGCCAGGCATGTTGGCACATTCTTGTAGTCCTAGCTACTCAGGAGGCTGGGGCAGGAAGATGACTTGAGTCCAGGAGGTTGAGGCTGCAGTGAGCTATAATTGCACCACTGCACTCCAGCCTGGGCAACAAAATAAGATTCTGTGGAAGGAAGGAAGGAAGGAAAGAAGGAAGGAAAGAAGGAAGGAAGGGAGGGAAGGAGGGAGGGAGGGAGGGAGGGAGGAAGAAAGAAAGAGAGAACATTTTTACTCAAGTGATGGGTACACCAAAATCTCAGAAATCACTACTAAAGATCTTATTCATGTAACCAAACACCACCTGTTCCCCAAAAGCCTATTGAAATAAAGAAGAAGTAAGATGAAAAAAGAAAGAAGGAAAGAAGAAAGAAAGAAAGAAAGAAAGAAAGAAAGAAAGAAAGAAAGAAAGAAAGAAAGAAAGAAAGAAAAGAAAGAAAGAAAGAAAGAAAGAAAGAGAGAGAGAGAGAGAGAGAAAGGAAGGAAGGAAGGAAGGAAGGAAGGAAGGAAGGAAGGAAGGAAGGAAGGAAGGAAGGAAGGAAGGAAGGGATTCCTAGAACCCCAGGAGACCTCCAAGGTCCTTTTGTTCACCATCCACCATCCCTTCCTCCCCCTAGCCCTGGTAACCACTATTCCAACTTCCAATCCTTTAGGTTAGTGCCGCCTGTTTTCAAACTTCATACCAATAGACTCATATTGTATGTGCTCTGGGGTCTGGTTTCTGTGTCCAGTCTCGTGTTAGTTCTTGCTGCATTTTAATCAGAACTGGCTACATAATTTGTGTGACCCAGTGCAAAATGAAAGTGTGGACTGTCCCCCCGCAATCCCACCCCCAACACCGTTCAAAAGTTATTAAGAATTTCAAGATGGCAGCTGCAGAGCCTAAGTCAGTCATGTGATTCTTCTGAGTGCAGGGCCCTGTGTAATCACACATGCCCATGAAGCCATGCTGTTTCCAGTTGCCTATTTGTTCGAGTGTCTCTTCCTTGAGGGTAAGAGCTGTGCTCTGGGCAAGTCACCATCTCTGTGGAGCTTCTTCAGCCTTCGTTCATTAAAACCTCACAGAGGCCTGAGGCCGAGAAGGAGGGTGATCATTATAAGCATCACACCCATTTAATTGATGCAATGTCTGGACTGAAAATGCCGCGGGACTCAGCCAAGGTCCCACAGTGAGTGAGTGCAGGGACAGACCTCAATGCAAGCCTTCTGGCTCTAGGCAGCCTCCCCCTGCCTCCAGCTTTGCCCTAGAATCTACTGCATGCCAAGTACTGGACCCAGGGTAAAGGAAAAAAAGAGTTCCTGCCCAGAAGGAACTTTCAATTCAACTGGAAAACAAAAACAGGACTTACACACATGAAAACATTAATAACCGAAACATTTTGTCCTTCATGTGTGGGCCTTGTAGTTGTAAGAACTGGAGGCTTTCTCTGTCTAACCAAGCAAGAAGGATCAACTAGGGAAGGTGCAGCCAGGCATGGTGACTCACGCCTGCAATCCCAGCATTTTGGGAGGCCAAGGCAGGGGGATCACCTAAGGTCAGTAGTTCAAGACCAGCCTAGCCAACATGGTGAAACTCCATCTCTACTGAAAATACAAAAATTAGCAGGGCGTGGTGGTGCATGCCTGTGATCCCAGCTACTTGGGAGGCTGAGGCAGGAGAACCACCTGAACCCAGGAGGCAGAGGTTGCAGTGAGCTGAGATCACACTGTTGTACTCCAACTTGGGCTACAAAGTGAGACTTCATCTAAAAATTTTTTTTTAATTTTTTTTTTAAAAAGAGGGGGTACAGAGAACCTGCACAGGAAGCTGAGGGCAGGCAGAGCTCCTAGGAGCCCTGGCAAGCAGTGGAGTCCCACCCCAGCTCTCACAGGGACACGGTCTGGTTAGCGTGATGCTGTTGCATCTGTGTACCACACATTCCAGTCATTCCATCAGTCCCGGCATCACTTGCTCACAGGACAGCCTCTGATTGGCTGAGCTCTACCCTGGGGCTCAACCTCTGGCTCTCCTAGAGCTGGGAGACAGACGGAGGGCCTGGCCCCTATGTTATCACAGTGGGAGGGAGGGCATTCCTCAGAAAGAAATCAAGGGGTCATGAGGACCAGGGATGAAAGTGTGGTGGCTAAAAAATGACAGAAATTCCCTTTAATGCATGTATTTGTTTAGATCACCAGTACACCAAGCAACAGTGGGGGACTCCTGTCCTTGAAACTGACTTTGCCTGTGCTTGTGGAGGAGGCAGGCAAAACCATTGTAAAAGGCGAGTCCGCAAGCACCCATGTGTTTGTGAAAGTGTGGTGTGATGGTTACTTTTAGGTGTCAACTTGACTGGGTTGAGGGATACCCAGATAGCAGGTGTAGCATTATTTCTGGGTGCATCTGGTAGGGTGTTTTCAGAGAGATTGGCACTCGAATCAGTAGACCGAGTAAAACACATCTGCCCTCACCAATGTAGGTGGGCGACATTCAATCCACCGAGGGCCCAAATAGAACAAAAAGACAGAGGAAAAGCAAATTCACTCTCTTCTGGACCTGGGACATCCACCTTCTCCTGCCCTGGGACATCGAAGCTCCTGGTTCTCAGAACTTCAAGCTCAAACTGAATGACACCATCAACTTCCCTGGTTCTTCAACCTGCAGATGACATACTGTGGGACTTCTTAGGCTCCCAATCACTCAGGCCAATCTCCATCATAAATCCCCTCTTCTACATCTATCATCGTATCTATAGCGCCATCTGTATCCTGTTTGTTCTGTTTCTCTGGATGACCCTGACTAATCCATGTGGTTAAAGTGAAAACCCCCAAGCCCCACACTAACAGCGGAGAAGCTATAACACAGTCAAGCTTCGACTCACCAATGCACATGCCAGAGCCCTCATAGAAACGTGGCTTCCTTGAAGGGAAGACCATGTTAACCTAAGGGCAGTGACCTCCAAGGAGCCTGGAAAAGAGTGAGAAGGTCCACTGGCAAGAATGTGGAAAGAATTCCCATCTGTGACACAGGAGAGAGGTCCAGAATCTGGTGGACATGAAGATTCCAATTCTGTCTTGTGGGCAGGGACGCATCCTCAGGCCTCACCCAGCACCCTGGGGCTGGAATACACCTCTAAATTGTATCCTACCTCCAGTCCCAGCTAGGCAGGACTGTCTTCTGGGAAGTAGATTGTGGGAGCCATGTCGTTTGTGGGTGACAGCTGCCTATTGCTCCCTGGACTGGGCAAAAGGGGCTCCATTTGCCCTCACTACCTCCTCTTCCCAGTGCTAGGCAGAGCAATATCAGTGGCGACGCCATGGGGCATGGTTATGAAAGCGGGAAAATGCTTGATCTCACTTGTGCAAGCATTTTCTGGTCTGTGTATGGGTACAGCAGTCACTGAACAGGGGTGGGGGCCAGGGGCTGCTGCTTTGTGTCCATGTGTCCATGTGCTGTGTAACAAATACACAGCAACATCTAACTGACACATGGACACGTCAAAGCTCAATGGCTGAAAAAAACAATGATGTCTTATTTTTCATGAGTTTGTGGGAGGGCTGGAGTGCTGCTGGAAGTTGAAGACTTGGCTGAGGCAGCTCTGCTCCACATACTTCACCCTTATCCTAGGACCTGCTGATTTCGTCCCCTGAGAGATGGCAGAAATGCACAAGACGGCATGGAGACACTCAGGGCCTCTGGAACTGGTGCACTGTCACTTCAGCCTGGTTCGATTGGTCAACACAGGTCTCATGGTCAGCCCAGAGTCACATTGAGAGGGCACTGCAAAGCGAAGTGGCAAAGGGTGTAGATACAGAAAGAGGTGACAAAGTGAGGCCAGTGCTCAAGGGTGAATGGAGCTGGGGGACAGAAACTGGGAAGCCAGTTTGATCCATGCCAGGTTGCAAGGGCAAGTTCAGGCCATGTACAGAGGAGTTGAGAGAAGAGTCAAGCCTGGGGGAAATCCCAGGGAGAGAACAGAGACTAGGGAGGCACAAGGCCATGGTGCTGGTGGCTGAAAGTGGCCTGGAGCAAGCTGGCAGTAAGCATGAATCTCATCAGCTTCTCCTTGTGCCAGAAAGGGCTTCTGCCAGGGTGCCCAGGCCCATAAAGCCACCACATCAGGGCAGACCTGTTCCAAAGATCCAGAGCAATTTTAGATGTATCCGTGTTTATTTTTGTTGTTGTTGATTTTTTTCATTTTTGTTGTTGAGACGAGGTCTCACTATGTTGCCCAGGCTGGGCCTGAACTTCCAGGCTCAAGCACTCCTCTCTCCTGGGTGTCAGCTGGGACTACAAGCATATGCCACAGCTTCTATCTGTTTTTATTAAAGCCATATTTCCTGAATTTTAGCCATTCACATTCAAATTTTAGTGATTTTTTTTGGCCATATCTGCTTGCCGCCTATACTAATATTTACTTGATATTTTTATTTAAATCGACTCATATTTTTTGTTGTCATTATTTAGTTTTTATTTCATAATCATAAACTTGACTCTGCAATCCAGCTAGGCATGGAAGGGAAGAAGGAAATCTTGGAGCTCAAAGGGAACTGCAGTGAGAGCGCAAAGATTCTAGGACTCTGTGAGCAAATGGGGTGGTGGAGGAGTGCTCTCCCGAGCTACAGAAGGAATGGTCTCGAGGTTAAGATAAAACATAAGTCGACTGGGCACAGTGGCACAAGCCTGTAATCCCAGCACTGTGGGAAGCCAAGGTGGGAGGATCACCTGAGGTCAGTAGTTCAAAACTAGCCTGTCCCACATGGTGAAACTCTGTCTCTACTAAAAATACAAAAATTAACCAGGCGTGGTGGTGCTTACCTGTAATCCCAGTTACTCAGGAGGCTGAGGCAGGAGAATCACTTGAACCTGGGAGGTGGAGGTTGCAGGGAGCCGAGATCGTGACATTGCACTCCAGCCTGGAAGGCAAGAGTGAAACCTTCTCAAAACCGAAACAAAACAAACACAAGTCAAGCTTATTAGAGTCATTCACAGTCAGCAGTGGTGATCTTCTTGCTGGTCTTGCCATTCCTGGACCCCAAACCCTCCACGGTCTCCACAATATTCATGCCTTCTTTCACCTTGCCAAAGACCACATGCTCGCCATCCAACCAGTCACTCTTGGCAGTGCAGATGAAAAACTGAGAACCGTTTGTGTTGGGTCCAGCATTTGCCTTGGACAAGATGCCAGGACCTGTCTGCTTCAGGATGAAGTTCTCATCATCAAATTTCTCCCCATAGATGGACTTGCCACCAGTGCCATTATGGTGTGTGAAGTCACCACCCTGACACATAAACCCTGGAATATTCTGTGAAAGCAGGAACCCTTCTAACCAAATCCTTTCTCTCCAGTGCTCAGAGCATGAACACTTTCTGCTGTCTTTGGAAACTTGTCTACAAACAGCTGGATGGAGATGCAGCCCAAGGGCTCATTGAAGAATTTGGTGGGGTTAACCATGGCTGATAGTATGGGGCCCCTGGAGGCAATGGCGGTGTATGCAAAACTCAACTTATATTTTTAATGTAAAGATTTAACTTAATATTCATGAAATCATTGACTTCTGTGCTTGTTTATACACACACACACACACACACACACACACACACATATATATATTTTTTTTTTTTGAGTCAGAGTCTCATTCTATCACCCAGCCTGGAGTGCAGTGGCACAATCTTGGTTCACTGCAACCTCCACCTCCCAGGTTCAAGCAATTCTTACACTTCAGTATCCTGAGTAGCTGGGATTACAGGCATGCGCCACCACATCTGGCTAATTTTTGTACTTTTAGTAGAGTCAGGATTTCACCTTGTTGACCAGGCTGGTCTCCAACTCCTGACCTCAAGTGACCCACCTGCCTCGGCCTCCCAAAGTGCTGGGATTACAGGTGTGAGCCACTGCACCCAGCCCCAACTCATATTTTTAATGTAAAGATTTAATAATATTCATGAAATCATTGACTTCTGTGCTAGCTGTATCTTTCCTAATGTCACAGTAAACAACCTATAACCTCCAAGACAAAATAATTATATATACATATATATTTATATTTATATTTATTTATTTATTTATTTTAAGATGGAGTCTCACTTTGTCGCCCAGGCTGGAGTGCAATGGTGCATTCTCGGCTCACTGCAACCTCCACCCCACTAGGTTCAGGTGATTCTCCCACCTCAATCTCCCGAGTAGCTGGGATTACAGGTGCCCACCACCACGCCTGGCTAATTTTTGCATTTTTAGTAGAGACAGGGTTTCACCATGTTGCCCAGGCTGATCTGGAACTCCTGACCTCAGGTGATCTGCCTGCCTCGGCCTCCCAACGTGCTAGGATTACAGGTGTGAGCCATCATGCCTGGCCAATTATTCATATTGTTAAAGAAAGAAAACAAGTCATAGGATATCTAGAGTGTGAATCCATTTATACAGAAATTGAAAACAGCCACCTCTATATATTTGAAGTAAAGTTTAAAAGGGTCAGTCGGGGCCAGGGGCAGTGGCTCACACCTGTAATCCCAGCACTTTGGGAGGCCAAGGCGGGTGGATCATGAGGTCAGCAGATTGAGATCATCCTGGCTAATACGGTGAAATACCATCTCTACTAAATATACAAAAAATTAGCCGGGTGTGGTGGTGGGTGCCTGTAGTCCCAGCTACTCAGGAGGCTGAGGCAGGAGAATGGTGTGAACCCAGGGGGCGGAGCTTGCAGTGAGCAGAGATCACACCACTGCCCTCCAGCCTGGGCGACAGAGTGAGACTCCGTCTCAAAAAAAAAAAAAAGGGTCAGCCAGGTGAGGTCTGGAGTTCGAGACCAGCCTGGCCAACATGGTGAAACCCTGTCTGCACTAAAAATACAAAAATTAGCTGGGCGTGGTGGCAGATGCCTGCAATTCCAGCTACTCGGGAGGCTGAGGCAGGAGAACCGCCTGAATCCAGGCTGCAGTGAGCGGAGATTGTGCCACTGCACTCCAGCCTGGCACAGAGTGAGACTCTGTCTCAACAAAAAGGTAAAAAGAAAAGTTGACTCCCAAGGAAACAGGCATCCAGCTCAAATCTGTCTCCCTGCTGGCTTTAAGGCAGTCATTTTATTAGACAAGGTTTGGGGTTGGATTAGCAGGTGATTAGTGGAAGGAAGGGGGAGATGGGCAGAGTCCTTGAGGATTCACAGTTATCTTCTCATGCTAACGCATGGGTCACATGTGCAAATTCAGCGGGAGCTCTCTGAAACATGATGGAAATTCAGGCTGTGACATCAGCAAGCTGGTTCTGCACAGACTCTAGTTGGCCACACTGGTTCCAACTGATTTCAGCCAGTTTTGTTATCTTACAAATGAAAGGATTTTCAGCATTTCAGCAAGTTGTTTCTTTTCTTATCCGCTATCCTGCAAACTCAAGAACTTCTGTTACTTACTGTTTTTTGTTGTTGCTGTCATTGTTTTTGTGAGACAGGGTCTCCCTCCATCGCCCAGGCTGGAGTGCAGTGGTGTACAACCGTGGCTTACTGCAGCCTCGAACTCCTGGACTCAAGCAATCCTTTTGCCCCAACCTCCTGAGTAGCTGGTACGACAGGCACGCACTACCATGCCCAGCTAATTTTTACTTTATGTAGAGACTGGTTCTCACTGTGTTGTCCAGGCTGGTCTTAAACTCCTGGGCTCAAGCAGTCCTCCTGCCTCAGCTTCCCAAAGTGCTGGGATTACAGACGTGAGCCACTGTGCCCAGAGTTATTGATTTCTTTAACTCTTTGAGGCACAATTTCAGAAAGAAGGAAAGAAAGAAGAAAATATTATGGTTGCAACAACAGTTACTAAGCACAAAACCGAACAAAACTAGGACGAAGACTGCCTGCCTGTCTAACATACCAAAATCCATTTCTCCTGGTGTGCTTTGCAAGGCTCGGTCTTGAACGGCAAGACCTACCTGTGCAGACACTCATCTGGGCCCTTCTGTAGCGAATGTAGACAGCAGATGCAGAGCGACTCTCAAGGAACGGCTGTGAGTCCTACCCAGAGGCCTGCTGTGTGGGGCAGGGAGGACAGCAGGAAGCAGATATATACAGAGCTACCCTGAAACAGCAGGAACAGGCAATTGCAGGCGCAGCATTGAGTCATCAGTCTTACTTTGGGAGGCCGAGGTGGGTGGATCACTTGAGGTCAGAAGTTTGAGACTAACCTGGACAACATGGTGAAATCCTATCTCTACTAAAAATACAAAAATTAACCAACAGAAATTTGAGAGTTCCCACAACCCCTCTCAGTGTCACCAGTGGACAGTGTCCAGGTTCTTGGCGTCTTGAACAAAGAATTGGACAAAACACACAAAGCAAGGAAGCAATTAAGGGATTTATTGAAAATGAAAGTACACTCCACAGTGCAGGAGCGGGCTCAAGCATATGGGCTCAAGGGCCCTGATACAGAATCTTCTTAGGTACAAATACTCCCTACAGGTTTCCCATTGGCCACTTAGTGGTCAACTGGTGTAAACGAAGTGGTGGCCCGCAATCCATCTGATTGGTTGCGGAAAGCAACCAATGGGAAGTTGAGGCAATCCCGTCAGGAGTCAATCTGGGTTTTGTTATCGCCATGGTTTCCATCAGTGTTACACTAGGTTCAGATTCCTCTAGAATTACCTTGTGCTTCGGATGGGGGTTGAGTTGCTTCAGTGTCTGTCTGTCTTCCTCCCTCCCTCCAGCCCTTCTTTCCTTCCTCCTGTTATGTATAAAGTTTCAGTGCCGCAAAACAAATAGCACTCCAATATAAAATTTTCTTTTAATTCTCAGCAAGGCAAGGTACTTCAGTAGAAGTGTGCACCCTTACAGTTGGAGCAATGGTGAGCACACACTCAGACAAGGGAGGGGAAGAGGTTCTTATCCCTGGCGCATATGGCCCCTGCTGCTGTGTTGTTCCCGTATTGGTAGAGTTAGACCGCGCAGGCTAAACTAATTCTGATTGGCTAATAATGGGGTGAGTGGTTTGGTGGGAAAAATGATTATGACAGAGCAGGTAATTGGAATGAGTCAGGGTGGAGCAGGTGATTGAAATGAGTCAGGGTGGAGTACATAATCGAAAAAGTTGCTTTATGAGGAAGTTAACTTTAAAAGTAGAAGGTAAAGAATTGAACACATTGACATATTGATTCTTTGAAAAGAAATGTATAACTCATATCTAACACCTCCTTCCTTCTTTCTTCTTATTTCTTTCCTTCCTTCCTTCCTTCCTTCCTTCCTTCCTTCCTTCCTTCCTTCCTTCCTTCCTTC